TGTTTTAATTGTTTGATTTTCCTGCTCATTTAAAAAAATATTTTCCCTCTTTGCATTTCTGGTAATTTTGATTGGATGGCACATATGACTTTTACCTTGTTGGGTGCTGGATATTTTTGTGTTCCTATAAATATTCTTGAGTTTTGTTCTAGGACACAGGTAATTTGAAACAGTTTGATCCCTTAATGTCTCACTTTTAAACTTTGTTAGGTGAGACCAGAGCAGCATTTAATCTAGTGTTAATTTTGTCCCATTACTCTTAATCTCTCCAGAATGGGGACTACATTGGCTCTCCCCCATCAGCTGGTTTAGGCTTCAGACATTGTAAATAGAGTTCAGGCCGGGCGCGGTGGCTCACGCCTGTAATCCTAGCACTCTGGGAGGCCAAGGAGGGAGGATTGCTTGAGCCCAGGAGTTTGAGGTTGCTGTGAGCTAGGCTGACGCCCCGGCACTCTAGCCCAGGCAAGAGAGGAGACTCTGTCTCAAAAAAAAAAAAAAAAAAAAAAATCAAATGGATATTAATGTTTAATATTCAGAGCATACACAATATAGTGTGAAATTTGACCTTAGTAAAGGTTAAATTTATTTCATTTAAGGTTAAGTCATTAATGAATTACTTAAGTCATTAATGAATTCCTTAATTCATTACATAAATATGAGTCACTTTTGGCTTTTCTGAGTCCAGTCTCCTTAATTCACTTTGTTACAGGTACGTGATATGTACCTAAATACAAAGCACTATTAAAATAGAAGTAGGTGGAATCCTAAAATTCCTTGTCTTTAGATTTATCTTGTATTTAATATAAAGTTTATTATTTATACTTTATTTAAGGCAAAATTAATATTTAGTTACATATATGATTTTTTATAAAAATTGCTTTTCTTTTTCCTAAGAATTGAAAGTATTTGATGTTGGCATTTATGGAGGCAGGTTGCCAAATTTCATTATGTTATGCACTTAGTCACCTCCAATCCAGATTTCTCTTAGTCTGTGTGTACTTAAAAGGAATAAATCCAAATTAATTTATAATTTAGTGTTGCACTGTAGGCAATATTCCTTTCATTTGTTATTTCTAGTTTTATAGAAACTTTTTTCAAGATTTTAAATAATAGATCTTCATCTCTCAATGGTGGCAATGGTTTATTATTAAGTATTTTACCAATTGAATTATATTCTTTTGGAGACATTCCTTTCTTTTTTGGTGTTGAGTTGCTAAGGAGAAATGCTTATTAATATACAAAAGTTAGTCAGTTACCTGTAAAGATGAGAGATGTCACAGGGTTCAGATTTGGTATAGTTAAAGAATACTTTTCTCACCTCATTCTGTGTGTATGTCTCTTCTGATACTGTTTTTTGTCATGAGGACAGAAAGTTAGAGTGCATCCTCCCCACAAACA